CTCTTTTGGGAGCCAGTCCACCCTGGAGCCTCTGCCTGGAAGTGGAAGTGGAGTTTTTGGGCCACACCTCGTCTGATCCTTTGTGGGAACGTGTTTGTTTGTATGTGTATCGGTACTTGCACGGGCTGGTTTGAGACGGCTTTGGCAACTGGGCTCACACGTGATGACACCAAGGCGCCCTTCCCTTTGGCTTCACCAGAGGCAGAGCATTGTTTGGAATTCTCCCTTTGGGACTAGCCTTGGTCTTTCATTGGGCTTCATCTCTGGGGCGTCGGTTGGGGTTTTCCTCCTTTGGACTGAGGGAGCACTGGTTGGGAATCTCCTTTTTGGGGCTAGGAAACTGTGACCCTGAGAGACCATTCTGAATGGTTTGCTTGATGTTTGATGACATTGGCCAAAAGCAAGTATGGATGATTAGAGCTCTGTTCCATCTTGCTGTCCCCCCAGGGTGTAGTTTGCAAAACTGGGAGAACTTTAGCTACGCTCCCATAAGTGAAAGTAATCTCATACTGTAACAAAAATGATCTCTTTTTTATTATAATACTATGTGGGCTCAGTACTCCCAGAGATCTGGAGAAAATGGCCCCTAATGGCTCTACTATTAGATCAAAGAGGGCCTTTTGCAGTTTAGCTTTTATCTTGCGGGGGTGTGTGTGGGTGTGTGTGTGTGGGTGTGTGTGTGAGTACCTGAGTCCAAATCCTGTTCTCTTTTCCTGGTTTGCTGAAAGCGAGAGGTGTAAATGTGAATGAAATATATATTTGTCTATTACTGTTATTTCTTTAAACTGAAGTGGATATTTGGGAACTGGAGAAAAAAATCTCTGAAAATAGCCAAGACAGTTGGGTTTTCGTATAAGCAGTTAGAGGGGAAATTTGCATTTCTCTTCCTGTGCCTTTGAGATGTAAATGATCTAGCTGGGCTCTCAAGGGAAAAAAAAAATTTTTAAACTCAAGCAGAAAAACTGAGATCTCTGGCTCTGTCTTTACTTTAAAAAATTAACTTGTAAATGAGCTCTATTTAATTGACTTAAAAGTAAGTGCTTACAAATCAAATATTTCTCTAAGTTAAAAAAGCTAGACAGAACAAATTTCAGGCTTACGTATGTGATCTAGGAAATATTCAATATTGGATTGATACCTGATTTTAAAGCTAGTTTAAGCTTATTGGTACAATCAATGCAGTCGTCTCTTATTGTACCTAGGTATATTGAAGGTCAGTAAGTTCATGTAATTTCTGTTGCAGGGTTTGTTAGCAGAAAAAAAAATAATTAGCTTGGTATGATATTCTTATGGGTGAATTGAGTGCAGATGAGATGAGCTTTTTGGGTAATCTCTTTGGCAGTGATTATGTTATGGGAATGTATACCAAAAGGGGATCTCTCCAGATATTTTGTGACTTGAATTTTAGAGTTGTGCTGGATTGAGTTAAATGATGGAAGTTTACTGAATAGTTGAATAGTTAGGTCATTCTCAAACAAGATACTGAAACATTCACTAGAAGTTAAGAGCTGAGGATTCTAATTTAAATGTGTAATTAAGGCTAGTAGAAAGAAAGGAAGCATTTTTGACAAGTGTACAGTTTTCTTTTAAATCACACTGCTGATTTGGATAAGATATTTAAAAAGTCTGTAGCACTGACTTCATGGAACTGCTGTAAAGGGGATTGATTACATGGGATTGAGTGAACTGATGAATATAGTTATGGTTTTTTGGTTTTGTCTAAAATATGACTGGCTTTTAATCTATTTTCTAATTGAGCTGATTACCAAATATTTGCCTCCCTATCAACATTGCCCCCGACATGTAGGGTACAATTCTCTAAAGGGTTGTCACAGGATGTAAGTACTCATGGTGTATAACAATGCTTGAAGTCTATTGCTAAAAGCACATGTACGATGCCTGTGTAATAACTGGGTATAAATGATAAAAATGTATGGCCTATAAAGTGTTTTCCCCATTAACGTCCCTCTGAGCCTGTTCACGATATCTGATTAGTTTTCCCCCAACACGGATCACTAGGCAAGTAAAAAAGAGACGTAGCACCAAGGGACGTGATCTGAACCTGAGGCAAGAGCCACCACCACCTCAGTGTCAAAGGACAGGTATTTTGAACATCAATGCTTTTTGTTAAAAGATTGTAATCAAAAGGGGCAATGATAGGAAAATCTGCATATATTGAGACACGGGGAAGTCATCCTGGGTTATGCATGGTTTGACTTAAACTTTACTGACCAAAGTGGCCTGTTTTATGGGCTTTTGGACGTGCATTATATATCTGCTTTGGCCTTGAGGAGGGGAATGCATATGAAAGTCAAAACGGAGGCGCTGTGGTTCAGACGTCCAAAGTAAGACTAGGTGGCCATTGTGGACGTGATTTCAGACGCATTCCTATATTGCTGAGAACTTGAATTTTCTGAGCTCTGTCATTCTCAGGATGCCACCAGCCATTCTCAAAGCGGTGTCTCCTGGCAGATGGCAGCTGCAACCTTATGACCTCAAGGTCTCCTCTTCTATTAAATTTTTAGACAATAAAATTGCTTTAGATCAGGTGTTAGCAGATAAAAGGAGACCTAGTGTGGTGGCCAATAGCTCGTATATATATGTTAACACCATATCAAGAATTAAAACCTATTCAGACAAAAGTAGACAACTGACTCTCTGGCTACAAGTCTCCCCCAGAGTGCCAGGTCCAGACTGGTTTTCAGGCTTATTCTCCGGAATTCCTCAGGGAATGAGATCTTAATCACATAAGACTTGGATCCAGGACTTGGAATTTGGGGATATTTCCAACTCCATGTCCACTCCCCAAATCAAGCTAGAACTATGCCCCATTTCCGCAGGAAGTAGCCAGAGTGGTTGTCACCCCATTCCCTGAAGGACTTGGGGGAGGGGTGAAACAGGATTAGGGACTGAAACCAAGTTCCTCTGCCGAGTGTCTGATTAACCTCCCTTTCCAAAATATTATTCCCCTTGTTCACACCTGTTCTCAGTATTGAGGGGTTTCAAGAAAAGGGGGGAATTGTAACTGAGCAGGACCCTATGGGGCCTCCCTGGGACAGACCCCTCCCTATCTCGGCTGCAGCTTCTCTCTCAAGTACCCAGATAGAAGTATCTCATGCATATTTCCTGAGTTTCTCAGAAGCTAAAAACCACCACCAAATGGAAGGAATTAACTCCTTGATGAGCATGTAGCCCTCGGATCTTCTGGAGCCTAAGGACTGACGACCATCAACCAAGCTGAGAATTGTGCACAGCTGACCACGTACCCTGGGATGCCCCTCCCTCTGCTGGCCTTTAAAAATGCTCAGCTGAAACCCCTTGGCGAGTTAGGGGCTCTTTTGGGCATGAGCCACTGGTTCTCCTTGCTCGGCCCTGCAATAAACCTTTCTCTGCTCCAGGTCCAACATTTCGGTATTTTTTGGCCTCACTGTGCATCGGGCACACGAACTTGCATTTGTTAACGGCAGGAGCTTCACCAGCTCAAGGAGATGCCTCCAGGCTGAGCCCTGAGGGTGAGTGACAGGTGTACAGCCACAAAGTGGCTCCATGCCAAGCATGGAGACCCACTGAGCCAAGATCTGGAGATGAGAGCTGCATGAGGGAACTGAAAGCAATGAAGCAAAACGCAAGGCATTGGATTTGAGGCAAAAGGCCACAGGCGCTGAGACCTGGCAGAGGTCACTGAGGGTCTGTAGGCCCAGAAGATGTGGGAGGGTTTGTGTTAGTTCCCGGGGCTGCCATAACAAAGTACCTGAAACTAGGTAGGCGGCTTAGAATAACAGAAACACATGATCCCACAGTTCTGGCAACAGAAGTCTGAAATCCAGGCGTCGGCAGGGCTGTGCTCCCTCTGAACCCTGTAGGGGAAGGATCCGTCCTTGCCTCATCCAGCTTCCAGCTGTCCCCCATTTTCCTTGACTCCGAATATCTGCCTCTTTCTTCACAGGTGTCCCCTCTGTGTCCTTTCACATCCTCTTCACGTATGTCTGTCTCTGTGTTCAAATGTCCCTTTTCATAATGACATCAGTCCTAGTGGATTAGGACCTGCCCCAAGGCCCTAATGATAACTTGACCTCTGTAAAGACCCTTTTTCTGAACTCGGTCACGTTCGGAGGTACTAGGGGGTTAGGACTTCATATCTTTTTGGGGGGCAGATACAATTCAAACCATATGGATGAAAGGTGAGACATCACCTTGAGATTTCTTGAAGCAGAAAAAGCACAGAAATAAAACTCCTTCCCCAGAAAATCTTCAGTTTTCCTCCCCAAATAAAACACTGAATCTTCCCTTGTTTTAATCATCCTTTAACAGAGAATCGTCCCTCGGGAACACCCACTCGTGCTCATGGAGCTTCGTGGGGTTGAGGGCCTCAAGTACCAGCTGTGCCATTTTCGCATACAGCAAACACGCCCGGGAACCCACGCCTGCTCTCAGGAGCGCCCCTTCCCAGGCAGGAAGGGGAAATTGCCCTCTTTCTCCCAAAGTTGTCCTTGACAGGAAATTAAGTTTTTTACCTTAACCCTCCATGGAAACCCTATCCCCTCAGATGAACAGCTAGTGAATCAATTTGTAAAGGAAACACGAAAGGCAGTCTTTCAGTTTGGTTTGCTTCGTTTGAAGCAGGTTATAATTTTGAGAGTTTTTTCCCTTTTATTAAACATTTTAAATCAATTATTTTCAATGGAAAAATACTTTAAGCACAAGGTTAAAAAAAACAGTGCAAAGCATTATACATTAAGTCTCTCTTTCCTTCCCCTCCTCAGAAGCCATCACTCACAAATTCCTCATATAGCCTTCCAGAATTACTCTGCAGAGAGCGCCGAGTTCTCCGCACTGCACGTTTGGTTGGGAACATGTTAAGTGAACAGCAGTCTGGGGTGGAGGCTGTAAAATATTCTCTCATGGGGACTGTTAGACGTCAGGGACTTTTACTCCTGAGCCCACTGCCTGAAAATTACCTTTAGTTTCCTAAATTCTGCGCTTACTTGGTTCTCTTTCAGATCATCTTTCCCAGCACAGGAAGGCATTTGTCTGCCTAATGACCTGCAAGCAGGAAGGATACTCCGTAACCTCACTTTGTTCTGCTGACCTTCTCCGGAGACGCATCAACGAATCCCTTTAAGAGAAAACAGGACAATGGGCGTAGTGGGCGCTGCAGAAGCCTTTAGTAAGTCTATTTCCTCTATGAGTTTCATTGTCTGTATGAGACAATCCTTCAATCTATTATTTTAAATTTGTATTTGTGCCGCAGATACTTCTCAACTGCTTCCTATATAAGAGGCCGTGTGCCCTGCAGGTGAGGGTCTAAGGTGAGCTAGTTAGTGTCCAGGAGAGAGGCTGATGCTCTGAGGGTCAGGAAGGGAGCACAGGCTCCTGGCGGAGGCAGCGCCTGAGGTTGGCTGGGGCGGCCTGCGGTGCTGACTTCCGTTGCCTCCTGTGTTGACTTCCATTGCCTCCTGTGTTCTGAAGCATCTGCACAGCTCAATGTTTGGTAAAAGGCTGTGCTTAGTATGCCTTTCTTCAGTTGATGCAATGATGAGATGAAATACATGTATTCTGAGAGATATACAGATTGCTTCTGAAAATGATGGATAATGAATTTTTTAATGTGATCTTTTTTATTTCTTCTCGAAGAAATCTTGTAAGTTGTGATGAGGTAGTGATTCAAGTTCTTTGAAATGTCTGACATCCCTTTAAATAGATCGCCCATTCAATGTGCATTAGAACAGCCATTCAAGGCAGCACCTCATGGGGTGTTACTATATTTGCATCTTGCATCAAAGCTGACTTTTCTCTGTTTAGATGTCTTATGGGGGGTGTGAGGGTAGGTTGCAGCTATAGCTAAAACTGGGAGGCAAGAGTCTGCAGGATTCTCCTTTTGGATCCACATGTGATAGGAAATATAGAGAAATATAGTTACCACAAATAACCAAGCTTATCCAAGAAAACAACACCATTTGACCAAATATGCTGCCAGGGAGGAATAATGTAATGTTAGCTTTAAAATCTGTAAATCAAAAATAGAAGAGAAACTTTTAAGACCTTTGTCACACCATGAAGCATTCAGGCATGCTTGCTAATTCATGATGACATTTTGCCCAGTCCCATTGTGCCAGGAGAGATGACGGCAGAGCACAGTCCCACTTCTCAGGAGGCTTACGACTTCAGTTTAACTCCCGTGGTGTGGAAGAGTTAGTGCCCGCCTAACAGCTCCACCCGCAGCCTCCGGACAGAGCCCGCCGAGTCCTGGCTCACCGGCGAAAACACAGGGGCTCTGCTTCCTGACTCTCCTTCAGGTGATGCCTAGAGAATCCACCTGTGAGGTCATCTCCCACTGAAGCATCTATTGGGAAATTATGCGGTAAAATCTAAGCTTAAAAGAGCAGAAAAGGAAAATGTGTGCTAACTAGTTTCATTTGTACATAATCAGGGACTCGTGAGATGTGGCTGCCTGTGTTCCATCAGCCCTGGCCAGAGATGCTTCCATGGCTGCCTTTATTCTTTCCTACAGTTTCAACATCACCTGCTTTCTGTGGGGAAATCCATGGGAGATTACATTTTGCCCTAAAAATATAAACCTGTGATACTAATCTAGGCAAATCATAAAATCATTGTGTCTAATTTCTTTTGATTCTTCAACTAAAATCCTTTTTAAAAGAAGGTGCTGGGGATTGAACCCAGGACCTTGCACGTGCTAAGCACGCACTCTGCCACCGAGCTATTATCCTCCCCTTCCTCCACTAAAAGCTTGATCTGAATATTATGTAGCTATGTATATTTTTATGAAATTAATTACAATTCAGTAAGAAGTGGGGAAAATATTGTTGCAGTAATCATTTGTGGTAGCACATGTTGGGAACAAATATAAAAAGCCCATCAGCTTAAATGAATAAACGGTGTATTCGTACAGTGTAATAAATTATGTCAACATAGATAAATCTCAAACAATACAGTCTGGAAACAAAGCATCTACACAAAGTCCAGAAAATGTTTTACTGTATTTGCTTTGGAAATCTCTTTTTTAAAAATTGTCTAAGTGCAGTAGTTTTCCAGTGATTTTTAAAATTGAAGTCTAGTTGATTTACCATGTTGTGTTGGTTTCAGGTGTATAGCAAAGTGATTCAATTATACACATACATATATATATATTTACTTTTTTAGGTTCTTTTCCATTGTAGGTTATTATTACAAGATATTGGATATATTTCCCTTTGCTATACAGTAGATTCTTGTTTAGTTTTATATACAGTAGTGTGTATATGTTAATCCCAAACTCCTGACTTATCTCTGCAGCCCCCTTTTTCCCTTTGGTAACTGTAGTTGTATTCTATGTCTGTGAGTCTATTTCTTTTTTTATAAATTAGTTCATTTGTATCTTTTTTTTCAGATTCCACATATAAATGGTATGGAAAATGTTATAATTCAATAAATTAGGCAGACTGCAGGGATATTTGTTATGTTTGTCTGCATTTTTTTTATATTGGGAATATTTCATAATGAAGAGTGAGCAAAATACAAATCTTTCATTATGTTTCCTGTGAGCTCACAGGGTGGGGTTCAAGTACCTAAAAGCATGGGTGTGGGAGATGGGGGAGAGGGAAGGAGGCTTGACTTCTTGGTCACCAGTGTCACACTACTGGAGGTGTGGCTATCACAAAGGGACCACCGTCCTACCAACCCATAACTTTTTAGTGTGTGGTAGCCGCAGAGTCTTGGGCTGTGTTGGAGATGTTGAGTCACCCTCTCGCTCTAAGACCTGGCTCTGACCTAGTCAGGGGTATGGATTCTGGCAGGAAAAGGGGTAGGGAAGGATGTAGGAACGGAAATTAGTTGCTCCACTCCTTTTTTTTCTTTTCTTTTTTTTTTTTAATATCTGGAAACAATGATTTCTAGATCCAGCATTTGACAGGTTTTTGAAATATATTTTCAATGGATTAGACTGGTAAAGTGGTCTGGTAAGTCTTCTATGTGGAATGTTTAATTTTGCCAGTGTTAAATATTCTGATTACATGTGAATTGTCCTGAAGTTTCAATAAACATTTTGAGTGTCATTTGGTTTTCTTATAATTCTTCTATTTGATCTAAGACATTTGACTTTTTAAAAATAACCTTTCTATTTATGGTGAAATACACATGTAAAATTTACCATCTTACCCATTTTCAAGTTTACAGTTCAGTGGTGTTAAGTACATTCATATTGTTACAATTGTTACCACTGTCCATCTCCTAAATTTATTTTATTTTGTAAAACTGAAACTATACCTACTGGCTCCTTGTTCCCTCAGCCCCTGGCAACCACCATTTTACTTTTGTCTCTGTGAATTTGACTACTCTAGGAACCTCATATAAGTGGAATCATACACTATTGTCTCTTTGTGACTATCTTATTTAACTTTGCTTTATGTCCTCAAAGTTTATCCATGTTGCAACATATATCAGAATTTCTTCCTTTTGAATCAGGCTGCATAATACTCCATTATATGTACATACCACGTGTTGCTTATCCATTCATCTGTTAATGGACACTTGGGTTGCTTACATGTTTCAGCTACTGTGAATAATGCTGCTATGGACGTGGGTGTACAAATATTTCTTTGAGACTCTGCTTTAAATTCTTTTGCGTATATACCCAGAAGTGAAATTGCTTGATCATATGGTAATTCAATTTTTAATTTTTTGAGAATCTGCCATACTACTTTTCCACAGTGGTTGTATCATTTTACAGTCCCACTAACAGTGCACAGTGGTTTAAATTCCTCTACTTCTTCGTCAACATTTGTTATTTCCTGGTGTTTTTTTCCCTCCATCTAATTGGTGTGAGGTGATATCTCACTGTGGTTTCATTTTGCATTTCTCTGGTGATTAGTGATGTTGAGCATCTTTTCCTATGCTCCTTGGCCACGTGTAAATCTTTTTAGAGATGTATCTCTTCAAGTCCTTTTCCCATTTTTGGATCAGGTTGGTTTTGTTGTTGTTGAGTTTTAGGAATTCTCTCTATATTGTGGATATTCATTCTTTATCAGATATATAATTTGAAAATATTTTCTCCCCATATTCTGTGGGTTGCCTTTTTTTTTTTACTGTTAATACATAGTGTCTTTTGATGCACAAAATTTAAATTTTTATGAAGTCCAATTTGTGTATTTTTCTTTGGTTGCCTGTGCCCTTGGTGTCGTGTCCAAGAAATCCTTGCCAAATCCAATGCAAGACATTTGACTTCTAATTACAGCTGCCACTTCTCTTTCCCTCACTGTTCAGCAAGGTGGAACAGATCTCATTTTTCTGTCTACTGAACCTATAAAACATGTATGTAAATACAGCTTGGGTATACCATACATTTCCCTTTTCATATTAACACCTCAGTATTGTTACATTATCTTTATCTCATTTTATCAAATCATTTTTGTTCTAAGAATTTCCCCAGGTATTTTATTACTGCAATTGGTATCGTCTTTCTGATTCTTTTTAGCTGTTTTCCAGCATCTTATAGGTGTTTCTGTTCTGATTGCTGATTCATGGATTTGTTGCAATGCACATGCAGATTGCATCTCTGTGAACACTTAGTTATTTTAAATATGTCAGAATTGTCCCTAGAAGACTTCCTAAATAAAAGCTGATTCCAATCAATTTACTTAAATTCATTTTGAATTACCTCAGGCTCTGTCTTCAGCACATTCAATATTTATGCAGTGCATCCTCGTGAGTGCTTCAAATACATTGTTTGGAGATAGGATGAAGCATCCAAAAATAATTAACGTGGTGGGCAAAGATAACGAAATGACAAAACTGAAATAAAAGATGCAGATGTACAGTCATTTTCAGCATGAAAAGTAACAAATGAGAGTAAACCTTTCTGGGTCAGAGAGCTGCAAACAGCAGCAGGACCAATGTCTATGAGTTGCAGCATTTTCTAAGGTGGACAGAAGCCAGGATCATCACCGCGGTGTGCAACATGATCTGGGTTTCTGTAATTGATTAGAATTGTCCATGGAGAATGTTCTTTGCTGTAATCCAAGGATTTCTTCAGTCTTTCAGTTTCTCCAAAGGCCACTTGAAGGGTAATGTGTTTTTAGAGGAATACATTTCCTAAAGTATCAGAAAACAAGATTGAGGTTTTACTAAGATGTCTATATTATTCTCATTGCTTCTAATATATTAGAAGCCAGTGGCATAGTTTTTCCTCCTTATTTTCGGCTAGAATTAGGTTTCAGAAGTTGGATCAAATGGTGTAAAGACAGTTACTTCTGAAAGAAAAACCAAATATTTGCTTTTAAAAGTAAAGGGTTTAGGTTTTACTGAATATACTCAAATTGATTTTCGCGCTTATACAAGCCTGGGAGCAACGCGACTCCCAGGGAGGTTGGACAGAGAGGGTTTTGCTTGCAGTATTAAGGAAAGAACACAAATGCTTTTAAGGAAATTTTAGAACTTACTTAAATACCATTTTACTCTGGGTGCACTATACCTTGCAATCCAAACACTTGGTGGAAAGGGTGAGGTGCCCACATGCTCTTGCTCTCAAAAGATGTTCAGCTTCTAAAATGGTCCCTGTTTCTGCTAATTTGGACATGAGAAATGGCCTTGGCAAGGTTGTGAAGTGGTGACATTTGTCCTCATAACCCAGAAGGGGTAGAAATGAGGCAGTCAGATTTCTCCTCCACTGTCTGGGGCTTCTACCTTCGCTAGCTGTCCAAACACATTCCCGGCAAGCATCCTGGGAACAGTTCCATTCCCGTCTGTGTGTTGAGCTACAACTGAAAGTGTGTATGCATTTGTAGTTGGAGAGGTGGAAACACTTTTATATGTCTGAGTAGTATTCCACTGCATATATATATTTACCACAATTTCTTTAATTTTTATTTTTTAAATTATTTATTATTTTAAAATTTTTAAATGTTTTATCGAAGTATAGTTGATTTACAATGTTAGTTTCAGGTGTACAGAAAAGTGATTCAGTTATATATGCACACACATATATATTTTCTTTTCAGATTCTTTTCCATTGTATGATATTACAAGAAATTGAATATAGTTCCCTGGGCTTGGCTTTTGTAAATAGTGCTATGAACATTGGGGTGCTTGTATTTTTTCGAATTAGAGTTTCCTCTAGATATATACTCAGGAGTGGGATTGCTGGATCATATGTTAAGTCTATTTTCAGTTTTTTAAGGCATCTCCATACTGTTTTCCAAATGGCTGCACCAAACTACATTCTCACCAACAGTGTAGGAGGGATTCCTTTTCTTCACACCCTCTCCAGCATTTATCATTTGTGGACATTTTAATGATAACCATTGGACTGGTGTGAGGTGATACCTCATTGTGGTTTTGATTTGCATTTTTCTAATAATTAGCAACATTGAGCATCTTTTTATGTGTCTATCGGCCATCTGTATATCTTCATTGGAGAAATGTCTGTTTAGGTCTTCTGTCCATTTTTTTATTGGGTTGTTTGTTTTTTGTTGTTTTGTTGAGTTGTAAGAACTGTATATTCTGGAAATTAAGCCTTTGTCAGTTGCATCGTTTGCAAATATTTTCTTCAATTCTGAGGGATGTCTTTTTGTTTATAGTTTCCATTACTCTGCAACAACTTTTAAGTTTAATTAGATTCCATTTGTTTATTTTTGCTTTTATTTCTATTGCCTTGGTAGACTGACCTAGGAGAACACTGCTGCAACTTATGTCAAAGAATGTTTTGCCTATGTTCTCTTCTAGGAGATCTGTGGTGTCCTTTCTTTATGCTTAGGTCTTTAAGCCATTTTGCGTTTAGTTCTGTGTATGGTCTGAGGGAGTGTTCTAACTTCATTGATTTACATGCCACTGTCCAACTTTCCCACCACCTCTTGCTGAAGAGACTGTTTTTTTCTCCATTGAATATTCATGCTTGCTTTGTCATAGATTAATTGACCATAGGTGTGGGTTTATTTATTCCTGGGCTCTTTATTCTGTTCTGTTGATCCATGTGTCTGTTTTTATGCCAATACCATACTGTTTTGATTACTGTAGCTTTGTAGTATTGTCTGAAGTCTGTGAGGGTTAGTCTTCTTAAAAGCTTTGCTCTTTTTCTTCAGTATTGCTTTGGCAATTCTGGATCATTTGTCATTCCATATA